GTCGCGTCGCGTCGCGGCCCGCGCGCCGGACGCGACGCAGCGCGGCGCGCCGCCAGCGCCGCTGGCACCGAGGCGCGGCCCGTTAACGGCGCCGAGCCGTGGCTGACACGTGCGACCGCGTCGGGCAGCGGTGACGCGACGGCGGCAGGGATTTGTCTCACAAACTGCGGGCGCGCCGGCCGTGACGGCCCCGTCGACGGCGACGTTGTCACCCTCTGTCGCCTCCGACGCAAAGCGCAGCCTCGGCCGACGGGTGCTGCCGCATTTTGGCGCTCGAATCTGACGCCCAGTTGCCATGGAAACGTTTCCAGTATTGATCAGCCTCACAAAGAATCTGTCAGCTGCATCTAATCAACATGACGAATGGGCTGAGTAGATCAGGGGGATTGTTATAACTGGGAAAGTCGTAAAGTTTGTGCCAAGACGTTCGGCCTCGGAGAGTTATGGGCTTGCGATGCAGATAAAATCATATTTCATTTGCCTCCCCAAACAACGCCAACGCTCTTTGTGCGGTCGGCGCCGAAGCCCCTTCCCTGACATGGCCCCGAAAACGACAAGACACCGGCGCGAGGGACCATCGGCCCTAAGTGTCTGATTCTTCCCAACCGGCGTCGAGCCAGAGTTTGTGTCAATGACTTCTCTGCGGCCGTTATTTCCCAGGCCCTGGTGACAAGTACACACCGCCCGCTATTTGTATGCTGTGGGCGGCAGGTCCTCGCATTATGACATAATTTGCGGCATCCTCATAATTTTGCATTTGCGACCACAGTTTATAACTAGCTACACATGGCCATCGCTTGGTGAAATATGTAGTGAGGCAGGGATAGATATTTATGGACTACATATCTTAGTTTGTAATTACGTCCTATCTTTGTTTGTACTTGCAAAGAGGACGACCCAGCTGCAAGCCGATAAACATTCGCCAGCCCAGCGGCCATGTGAAAGGAAGTCTACCGGATGTAGCACCGACTCAACCTGTCGTGCGCTAAACGCGTCAGCTTGAGCTGTGACGAATATGGTCGATTAAGTTCAGGTCTGTATGGAAACCGACTCAACAGCCCTGATAGCGCACAGAAGCCGTGTACAGCATGCTAATGTCACTCAACCTTAGCACTGCTCGGTTGCATTTTCAGCTTCGTTAGGCGGGACCCCTTCCGGCCCTGACGGACCATTTAAGAGCTGCGGGGTTCAGCCGGGGAACAGGGACGAGGCCGCAGTTAACGACATTATGGGGAAACAACGCCATACCGCGACCATCGTGGATTATCCCCGTCACTGGGACTCGTCCGTGCGGTGACCCGGAGTCTATGCCGCTCCCCGGGCGGGACTCCTCGCCACGGCGGAGTCAGGCTGACTCGTGGCTGACGGCTGACTTCCGGTGGACTCATGGCTGACGCAGTGCGACGAGGCGTGTGAGAATACAAGATGAGACGGGACGGGGAAAATAAGGCGGATTGCTCGAGTATAAAACTAGTCCAACATTGCCCGTATTATATCGGCTCAGATGACGAGGTTTCCAGTGTCGTGCAGTAAAGAATGGCACCAAATGACGCGGCGAGGTCGTTCTCTAAAGGCCATGAAACCTAGCATCGCTGGCACGTTATTGTATGAGAGGCATAAGTAAAAGAGACGTCCTGCTCCGCATGCCGTCTTCAACAGGTGGCGTAGCACTTGCGTGCAGTGCATTCTTCGGGCTGGGGTTGAGTACGCTAATGTCAATCGCAGACGGCATTTAGGCTGCTACAATTCAGGAGCTATCTCCCATGGGCCGCCTAGGAAAATTAAGATCCGATTTTAAAGGTATATGTTTCCATTGTTGGGCGTGCTAAATTGCTGTGGCAGGAAGGGCGAATGAGATAGAAACCGTTAGTGTCTCACAAAAAGACAAACAACGCGGATGCGCGATTTATGGCTAGCAGTGCTCATTGCATTTACGACGGTGCGGATCCTATGTGATAATCTTCGCCATTCTCATCGTTATCGCCTGATAGCGTTCGCCACGAGCCGTCTGTGAACGCTGACCACAGGATGTACGACAACCTACGCCCACATATTTGGTTATTTTGCCCGGCACCTACAGATCGAATGTTGAATAAGTTGCAGGGCACGCACCAAAAGCTCAACGTGGATGTAAGTGATTGAATTATGAGTTATCAAATGAGTTTGGCGGCGTGTCATACCCGAATGTAATCGTGAATGCCAGTCTATAAAGATACCAGATTATTCTCCTCTATGACATTAACGTTAAGACAACGGGAATGGATACGATTCAAGCGAACTCCAACCCCTGGCTGTTGGTTTGAGGCGATTTCACCGTGCGCATTGATTGAAATGCATGAAATTGGGAGATGTTCGCCATGCAGCAAAAGTATCAGGGACCAAGACGACGCTGAGGCATAACGGATGCATAATAGTTAGGCACAGTGTTGTCTTTTGAACATGCAGGCTACATGAAAAAGTACCACAGAGAATATATGTTAAGTGCATGGTTTTGTGATGATGTGATGACATTTAGACCAGGAGTACAAGCACATGCACGGCAACGGCTTGACAGCGTTGCCATCCGCACTCCATTCTGGCCTGGGACAATATGTGTCCCTAACTCCTAGCATCTCTCGATATATATATATATATATATATATATATATATATATATATAACATATATGTGTATCTGCATCAAACCATTGCAGTGACAAAGCTTTATTTTATCGTTAAAACTAAACAATATTGGTATTACTTCCAAATATCTCTTCGTAGCATGTGGTAAAACCTTGCTAACGGGCCATCAAATATTGATCCTGCGCCAGCTGGCAATGCAATCTCCCTGAAACATTATTCCGCAGCTATTTGACGATTTAAGCGGATTTCGCATTTCATATACGACTCCAAGCGATGATGCCTCAAATTTTAACCCCACATCCCATTCTACGCTCTGCTCTACTCATACCCAGACACAAGATAATCGTCAAACGCCTCGCAAGTAATGCCACCGTTCGCATCACACCGTCGACCGCAAGTCGCGGGCTGAATATTCCGTACCCTTACGCTTAAGCCCCTGGCACTACCGAGGCAGCCCAGTCCCTCTACCACCGCCCACACATGCCGCGGGCGGCGGCAGCCCGGCCGGCCACCGCGCGCCGCCGACCGGCCGCCCGCCGACGTCAGCCAGCGCCGGCCGGGCGGCGGCGACTTGCCGCCGCGGCCGCGCGCCGACGAGTGGCGGCCATGTTGGAAGTAGTGCCAGCCAGGCCCCGCCTTTGTATGATATTCGTGCGCGTCGGTCGCGTGGTGCTGGCGGGCCGCTGCGCCAGCGCGGCATGCTCGAATTCCGCCGCGTGCCGGCCGCGGCGCCGGGCGGCGGAGGCGCGGGCCGACGGTGCGCCTCGCAGGGGCTCCGATGGGGAGTGGGGCGACGTATGGGGGTGGCCCCGACAGGATGCGAACCGGCACAGGGCGACGGAAGTTAGGGGGGCATTCGGTGAGGGGTGACCCGGTACAGGGAGATGGCTCGAACAGGGGCGGGGGGAAGGGGGCTCTGTAGGAGTGACCTGTGACGGGAAAGGCGTTCCGGCAGCGGGTGGGCTTACATAAGGGGACGGACGGGAGGTGGGGTCGTCAGCTGAGGGGACCTGGACACATGGAGGGTGCAGTGGGCGGATGCCCGTTGTGATGGCGAAGGCTCTGAGAGGCAGCGGCTCGTCACAAGGGTTGTTTATCACAGAGGAGTGGTAAAGGGGGAGATCGTTGTCGTGGGCCCAGAACTTATAGAGGGGTGCCTGGGGGAGGAACAGCAAGGCGCAGGCTGTGGCAGTGCGCTATGACTGGACATAGAGGTCGGAGTGATCTTCGATCGATCTGCCGCCCTGTGTCGGCGGCAGAGGACAGGTTGAGATAATCCGGCTTAAGGATCAGGAGTGTGGAGAGGGGCACTGCTTGCCATGAAGGGTGCATGGCAACGTCATGACAGGCACTCGTGACATGCACATATCCGAACAAGCACCTTGTTCCAACGAAAGCGTAGCATAACCTATCTATGTGGATGGAGCTACCACCAAGCGGGAGCAAGGCACTAGCCATGCGAAAACGCTACACGTGTTCGGTGGCTTTGTTGCACAAGGGTTTGAAGGGGACGAGAGGTCGCATAAATAATTTCAAAATGCGCTGGAATGTTGGCGGTTGACTGGGGACTGAGGACGTGTTCTGACTCCGTGATTTGGACCGAAGCAGACGCCAGCTCGTAAGTGACCGTAAGTCAATAGGCTAACAGGCCTTTTGTTGCTAGCTGAGGAGGCCGGTGTGCCCAGCAGAATAGCAAAAAGGTCTCAATATTCACCTGGGCGCTCAGCGTTACAATCATGGTAGTGATGACTTGCATCACCTAAGCTAGAGAGTATTAGCCCATGTCTAACCAGTGCAAACGAAATTTTGTGCTGGGATTGTGGTGCTGAATGAGGCCATTTACACAAAAGCTGAATATTTTCAGTTAATACGGGACAATTACGCCACGTGGTGCCTTCTTTTCCTTAAGGTTCAACTAGCCGGCCTTGAATCTCACAGCACCCAATCCAAAGTGGTTGCAAGTAGCATTAGAACTGCACACACGGCACGCGGCCACCAAGAAAGCTGTGCTCTGCCTCCACCACATAAGCCTTGACGTCGGGATTACCTCCACCACGCGAGCCTTGACGTCAGGATTACCATCACCACGCGAGCCTTGACGTCGGGATTACCTCCACCGCGCGAGCCTTGACGTCGGGATTACCTCCACCACGCGAGCCTTGACATCGGGATTACCTCCCACGGACTCACCTTTAAAATGCAGAAAGAACATTATCGTTTACTTGGCGACTTGATTGGGGGTGGGCGTCCCACCCGCCGCGCTGGGGTTGGGGTTGGCGCTGGAGGGCTGCTGCATGGCGGTCGCATTGTTGATGACAGCCTGCTGCGGCGCCTTCTCCCCGCCGCCACCGCCGGCGCCGGCACCGCCGCCGCCGCCGCCTCCGCCACTGTTCGCCATGCCCGCCGCCATCTTGGACGCCTGCGACTGCTTCTCCTGCTCGTTCAGCTCCTTGATGGCCTGGATCTCCTTCTTCAGCTTCATGCGCCGGTTCTGGAACCAGATCTTGATCTGGCGCTCTGTCAGGCAGAGCTGGTGCGCCATCTCTATCCGGCGCCGGCGGGTCAGGTAGTGGTTGGTGTGGAACTCCTTCTCCAGCTCTAGCGTCTGGTAGCGGGTGTACGTCTGTCGACCCCGCCGCCGCAGTCCGTGTGGACCGTGACCTGAGGGCACAGAAAGAAAAGCTCGGGTCAGGGCAGCGCCAGCACGAGGACGTCGAGGGTATTGTTCAGTCATCGAATCATCTAATGTAGCGGAAGGATGCTGGAAAAGCGCTGGAGAAGGTACCACTAGCTGTAACGAACATACCTCAGGTGTTTAAAGGTGTTTCTGCTCAATTCAGGGATGAAAGGCGCTCAATTCTGCTCACTTTGTCCAGGTTGGAGTCTGTCGAAGCGGAGCAGGTGGCGCCACCACCGGTGGTCGTCACATATACCTAAGGTTCATTCAACGCTCACTAGGTGGCGGGAGGCACATCTTTTGAGCCGCTGGTAGAAGGAGGTATGTTGTTCCGATTATTGAAATGGGTCGTAAAGGGTAGAAATAGGGGTGAAATGAAACATAAACGTCAGCAGGGCTTACACAAGTAATGAAACATTACGTGCGCTGGTGGCCCAATTTGTCAGGAGTCGACCCTGTGATGGGTGGCGCTAGAAGGAGATGGGCGGATAACTGGGGGTCGGGGGTCGCAGCAAGGGTGGGGTAGTAGCGGGGTAAAACACGTGCTGATGTACATATATCCAGGAAGAGGGGTGTAATGCTAATGAAGAATGCTTACTTTGCAGCCAGGCTGGGTAATTGGCACGCTCCGAAGCTGAAAATGAGAAACGATAGAACTTTAGTCATGTTACACAATACAGCTATAGACCCAGCTGTTCTACATGTCTAGATATTAGGTGCCTTGAACAAACAGATCAGTCGTTCAAACCCGTATCCGGTATTTTGCGCGCATCACTTAATAACTATCTATGTTACCGGGACAGGTAATGACATCGAGATTTTTGTGATACCTAACCAGTATTGAACTAGAGGAATTCCTTCGCGAGCCTTACGACAATAATCCATCGAGGCACCTAAAATCTGAACAGAACACGATATGACACGGTGGCATTCACAATGATTGCGAATCACATACAAGGTAAGAATGATTGAGGCCTTTCCGAGAACAAGATCCGTATTCAAAGGCCGGGGCATAACAGGAAACTGAAATGCAAGCGCTCGATTAGCTTTGTGACGCTTGCGTGCTCATGCATTCTGCATCATCATACTGGGACTATACTTGTGAACTGTTAAAGCGGTCATCTTCTCACATACATCATCCAAATTATCTGGGCACCATCATTCATTTTCGGCCGCTGAGTTCTTGGAGCGAGGCCTGTTTGGTATTCCCTGCAACCTAAGCGCCAGCCAGATAACGGGGCGGGGCCTTGCGATCTTTTGCTCATGCAAAGTTGAAGGTACAAAGAGATCGAATATCGTCGGAGACCTATGTAAGCTTTTTTGCGCACCAAATCCGCTTCAAATATCTGGTCTGGCTTAAATTGAACTGTACGTATTTGGTCGAGAGTCGACACCTTGTACAGATGCAATCATGTATACAAAGGCAATCTTAAGAGGAGGGGAAGTCAACGGACAAAGTAATCTTAGCTGACACTTTGAAAAAATTGTCGACGTCAGCGAAAAATCACGACAGCCCTGCAGACGAAATTCAGACGACCTATCGTGCGGAGAGTGATCGGAATGACCACATTTGACACTCTCCATCCGGTGTGATTGGATCTGAGAGCCGCGAGGAGGCGGGCTACAGAACAAGGATGCATGCAGCGTCGGCCGCCCGGGCACTTATGGCCAGGTTGTAATGCACACATTTCGAACACCTGACGAACCTTGTTTCGGCAAAATCAGCACGCCTTATCACCTTCATCTGATCGTTTGCATATTCATTAACCTCAAGCATATGCAATCAGGCTTTGATTGAATCATGCAAGCCGGAGGATATTTTCGCGGCAGCATCAATGCTTCTCCTTTCAACGCCTGGTCAAAAGTTATTGCTGTTGATGATGGAGGGAATACACAGTCTGCGATGTGTTGTGACGAGCCATCGTCATCATTCATGCGTCTCATTTGGAATCGCATTACGGTCGACACGGCTTTTGGTAGATTGTGGAGCCGAATATGGCAGCCCAGACACTCAGAACCGTCCGATTCAACAAAATAGTGTCAAATGCAGCTGTTCGGGGCGTTTCATTTCAATTGGGCAAAAATAAAGAGTGTAATCTCATGCTGGAGATTAAAACAAAACAGCAGTGACCTTGGTACCATCTGGTACATTCACTAACTACGCACTCTAAATGTGTCACTCTGACCAATAAAGTACGGGATATTCTCTTCTTTGGCTTATTGTAAAAAAGAGGGAGATATAACTGTGTTTCCTCAACGGCAGCGCACTTTATGGCCAAGCGGTAGGTCAGTTCAAAAACAACCATACGTTATTTCGGTTAGTTAAAACAAAACTTTACGTGTTATGCGACGGAGGACATGACAAGAGGGAAAACTGCCACCGATCTATGTGCATGCATAAAATTTCAGTTGTCTGAGACAAACGCCACTCATGTCCCCAATAAAGCAAGCATGACGACTGCATAAGGTGGCCCCGCATCGTCTTAGCCAGGCGACTGCATAGCGATGAGGATGAAGCCTTATTCGCCATTCATTCATTCACGGAGTGGTTGTCATTACGTCACCGATATTTACCATGTCGTGAAGCCTAACCGAGAAGAGCGAATGCTAGAAAAGTGTACTTGAAATATACTTTTCGGTCATGTTTTCTTTTTGATGAAGTTTATTACTAAAGTTGTAGTGGAACGCATGAGCAAATTAAACGATGGATGACCGAATGGATGCACTTTTTCGAAACTTCTTCCACTTATTTCATTTGGTTGTTTTGGCTTCTGACACATGCAAAGTAGATCTTTTCATTGCGCCCTAAATATAAACGGACGCGATTTAAGTTCATTGGGCATTGCTCTGTTTACGGGTTTTTACCTTTTTACCCTTTAGTATAATGTCAGTGATTGATTCTCACGAGCTTACTGGGGCGTCATGGTCGGTTCAGACGGGTTTGTTTGATAAGGTTGTAAACCACTCCAAATTTAAATAAGATGCGTTTTGCGTGCGGCTTAAGTCGTAGCCAAATCTCTGGTCCGCATATTTTTCCACCACTGGTTTCGCAGCCTAAAACAAGTGCGTTCACTTAGATAAGCAGACTACCATGCACAATTAAAATGCAAACTAGCATTTAATGGCTGGGTTTGTAGCATGCTTTTATCGGTGCGCATGACCTTGTGCCAACTGATGCCAATTTTTTACATGGGTACTGGATTGAGCTGAGTTAAACTGCGCTGGCTCGAGTCTTTCCACGAATTTTACGAGGCAGTTCGAGTCCAATGGCCTTTCACGACACAACCGCCATGATTTTAGGGCTGTCGTCAAGGTTGTGTCACTACGGTTGTAAAGCTAGGTATCACAAAACAAAAGTGCGTCACTAGCTCAAAGGACGATGCTCATTTTGGCAGCACCCTGTACTAACACCGTCCAGCAGATCCAACAAGAGACCCTTGCTAGAAATCCGATCGAGTATGACGTAAGGTGTCAATATCGCTTGTAACAAACAACATGTGAACGGTTGGTTTCATGTAGGGTTGGTAGTTCATATATCTGTGCATTCCGTAGTATGTGACAGAGACAACTTTGCGAAGAGCATGGAAGCTTTTGAACATATGTCCACAATTTTGAAGCCACTTGAAGCGAGATGCTGTTGGATGCGAGGCACGAAATGACGTCCAGCGTGTTAATAGTCTAGCCGCATTATCACGCTGAATGTAAATGTATGCGCAAGCGATCAAATACCTCCCTAAATTTCTAAATCGTTGACTGAGAAAAAAATGCCTATCTTAAGCTAAATGTTACTAAATTTTTAAGAAACGGAATTTTTGGCCTGACTTGTTACGTGGTCAATAGCATTGAAGCCAACATATCTATACGTGCTGGGGATGTGCGATCTAGAGGTATCTTTCGGTCTTTGAATCAGCGGGTCGCTCATTTCAATATGAATGTGTTGGGTGGGAGCTCCCAAGAAAATGTGTTTTGGAGAGAAGTACCTGAAAATATTGTATATAATATAACGAGCCATGCGTGAGACTGGTTGGGCCACAGCATGCGGAAATTGAAGCACGATATTAACCATCACAATTCAAAATAAGTTGTAAACGAACAAAATGTTGTGAAGTGTCCGGGTCTCCGGCAAGAACATTATTGTGAACTTTCACAAGAGCGTATTGAGAAGGGGTTAAATCATTCAGCTATCATTCGAGATTCATTCAAAATTAAAACTTCGCCGCGTGTGACCTCAAACAGAACGTGCGTATTACTTGTGGCCGGCCGGAAAACCCGGCCTTGTTATATTTCGAGATGCAAACCTGGCATATCTGCCACGTTTCATCTTGGCGAAACACACGCTGTGAAAGAAAGACACCAGCGGCCAAGTCGTCGCTTCTTGAAAACCCAGTCGTGTTTTTAGTCCACCCATCTCCATTCTGGAAATCGGCTCTCGAATTCAATACAATCCCAATTCGTGTCGATTTCAGCTGTCCCGATCAAGTTCTGCTCAATCCGTGCATTAATTATGGATCCATCGATTTTTCCAATTTGTGCAGGGTTCCGCCACCGCAACAATTCTGCGCTGACGACACGAACGGCCGCAGGTCTTCGACTTACAAGCTATCGGACAGTTTGCGCCGGCCAAGCAACGTTCCCTACTTGTACATGCATAGCCTGGCTAGTGGCAGTTTCGTTATCGGTCGGCGGTCGTCTTCAGTGCAATTTCATCACATATGCCTACTGCACTTACGGCTGATAGCCTCCATTCGGTTATGGTCGATGTCCTATGCTCATTGGGTCGCAGGATCGTTTTAACGCGACTTGAAAAGGAGGTCGACGGTGTCGGAAAGCTTCGCTGAAGTCAGTTGTTATGTGAGCTGGTCCTCTTTCACACGATGGATGATGTGGATGTGTCTGTGTGTCTGTGTGTAGTTAACGACCCACTTAGCCACCCACTTAGAGGCTTTTCAAGGGTGCCATGAAAATGCTCTTCTTGGAACTGCCTCAAATTGGCGGGGCCTGGCAAGGAGCTTTAAATAGCTTTGGTGGTTAGAAAGCTTCAACAACAACGGGTTGATTCAACGGACGAAGTCCCCAGCCATGTTCAAAACTATGCCCACGGAAACGCGCCTGGAAAGGTCAGATGCCTAGGGCTCCGTGAACTTGCTAGACCGGGACGTGTCCAGTTACCAACCAGGCCAGAAATTTCCGCGACCGGACCATCATTTGGTTCACGTGGGATTCTGTGATCTAATGTACCGCCTGGTTTAATTTATTTAAATGAGGCCAGGTCACCAAAACCACTGTAACTACGCACCTTACGTAACCTGCGTAGCTACCGCTCATGTCAACCTGAATCTATGATCGAAAGTGTACGTCAGGAAACACTGAGCATAGGATCGAACGTAGTTTGAGGGGTCTCCGCCGGATCTACCAAGCACTGAGTGATATCAGGCTAGCAGAAAGGCTTCCTCGCCTTTATTTTCTTGGAATGAGAAGAAGATGCAATGATCCCATGTAAAGCATTATGTAGACAACACAGCTTGGACTCATAAAAGATTTCCCGTGTTTGGTTTTGTGTTCCGCCGTAACTCTAGGAACTAAGACGCCGCAACACTGGAAACGCTATCAGTTGATACTTGCTTTCCAGTAGCC